AAAAATTTTTTTTCCCAAGCAAGCCAGTTGGGTAGAGAAGAGAATTAAAGAAGCATTTGTAATTAAAAATGAAAATGAGAGCAATCTACCAGCATCTGGGGGAGATGGGGATAATTTCATGGGGAAAACATGTAGAAACATGGCACGGGGCAGCCAAGAATGAAAGGATGGCTTTATGGTTTAATAAAGTCCAGATCACATTTTTTTTCCAAACGCATTGATCCATCCTAATTCCAAGGAACAAAAAGTGAAGTTTCATCACCGATGCAGAGTGTTTAGGAGAAATTCCTTAAAGCCCAAAGGAGCAAAAAAGAGCCATCAATTTTAGGTCAATGACAGCCAATCAAGAAAACCAGGCCCTGTCTTAAATCAAGCTGTCAGTCTCTCTTACCATGTCTGTCAATCCTAGAGAAAGAGATTTGTCCAGATGGGTGGGTTTCAGTGCCCTGAAATTCTCACCCAGGCTCAAGGAATTCTGCTGAGCGGAAGTCCACAGAGTGGCAAAAAGCTGGACTCCATTGAGGTTCCTGAGTATTTCCACAGGAGAATTCAGAGGCTGAATTAGAAATTCTTTGCACAAAAAAATGGGAAGTACACAACGTATGATCAAAAAGAGCCTGTAGTACAGTGGACCAAAGCACTGTTATTAACATTAGCTGTCTGCAATTACTGCAGGTTCGAATCTCACCAGGCTCAAGATTGACTCAGCCTTCCATCCTTTCTAAGGTAGGTGAAATGAGGACCCAGATTGTGGGGGCAATAAGATGACTTTGTATAAATATACAAAAGTATGAAGGCTGTTGCTTAACGCATTGTAAGCCGCCCTGAGTCTCCAGAGAAGAGAGGCATATAAATTAAAGGAAAAAAAAAATAGGGATCAGAAATTTCATTGCTAAAGCAAGGTGGTTGTTGAACGAGTCATGCCCCATTTTATGACCCCTTGAGCCACGGTTGTACAGCATCTCACTGCAGTTGTTAAAGTGAATCATGCAGTTGTTAAACAGATCCAGCTTCCCCCATTGACTGTTTGTAGGATGCCAGCTGGGAAGGTTGCAAATGGAATCATATGACTCCAAAATGCTGCATGTGCATGAATTTTGATGATATGACCATGCAATGGTCATAAGTGCAAGGACTGGTGGTAAGCCACCTTTTTTTTAGTACCGTTGTAACTTTGAACAGTCACTAAACACATGGTTGCAAGTCAAGGGCTGCCTATATAGATACCCATTTTATTTCTGCTACTCCACTTTGGAGTCTTCTCTACACAGGACTGAAATTCATTTTATTTTTTTTGTGTGTGCCACAGATACCTGGAAAAAAAAATACCTGGCTCTGATAATATCAAATGTGGAAGCCTTAGCACCTAGCTTCCTCTCACAACATCATTCAATCCCCAGCCCTGCCTGCTCTGGATTTTTCTTCAAAATGCAGATTTATTAAAATTACAAATAAAAGGAATTAGCATCTTGCAAAGCCAGCCATGCCAATTCCCTCTTGGCTGTTGACAAGAATGTTTTATCTGTTGCAGTTAGATTTCCCCGGGGAATTAAAATAATGGCCAGTGTCTTGCAGTCCAAGGCTCTGCTTTTTTTTTTTTTGTTTCCTTGTTTGCTCTGTTTGTTAAAAATGGTGCAAGGATTTCTAAGGCCACCCAAAGAATGCAATTCTGGGCCAAAGATTGGCACTCGACACTTAAGAAGTAACCCAATATATGAAAGAACAAGCTGAAGGACAATTAAAATGAGCAAGAGGGAAAGGAGCCAAGTCTTTTTCACTTTGCTGGAAGCAATCAAAATTGTGACCTGTTGTGTATTGAGGGGAGATGGTTCCAGAAAGAGACCTTGTCCCGAGAAGGGACTTGTGTCCAAACTAAGATGCCTCTGTGCCCAGATGAAGATTAGGCAGGGTAACGTAGAAAACAAACTAGGAACCAGAGGAGGCAGCCAAAGCCTCATGGACTCACCATGCTCATTGTGGGATCCATTTTGTTAAATTTGCCTTCCGTTCCAGAAAAGTTTGGGGGTTTTCTTTCTTTCTTTCTTTCTTTCTTTCTTTCTTTCTTTCTTTCTTTCTTTCTTTCTTTCTTTCCTTCTTTCTTTCTTTCTTTCTTTCTTCCTTCCTTCCTTCCTTCCTTTCCTTCCTTCCTTCCTTCCTTTCTTTTTCCTTCCTTCCTTTCCTTCCATTCTCCCCCTTTCTTTTTCCTTCCTTCCTTTCCTTCCTTCTTTTCTTCCATTCTCCCCTTCTTTTTCTTTCTCCTTCCCTCCCTCTTTCTTTCTTCCTTCCTTCCTTTCTCCGTCCTTTTCTTTCTTTCTTTCTTTCTTTCTTTCTTTCTTTCTTTCTCTCTCCCTCCTTTTCTTTCTCTCCCTCTCTTTCTTTCTTTCCTTCATTCCTTTCTTTCTTTTTCCTTCCTTCCTTTTTTCTTTTCTTCCTTCCTTTCTTCCTTTCTTCCATTCTCTCCCTTTCTTTCTTTTTCTTTCTCCTTCCCTCCCTCTTTCTTTCCTTCTTCCTTCCTTCCTTTCTCTCTCCCTCCTTTTCTTTCTATCCCTCTTTCTTTGTATCCCTCTTTCTTTCTTTCTTTTTCTTCCTTCCTTTCTCTCTCCTTCCCTCTCTCCCTTTTTCTTTCCTTTCTTTCTCCCTCTTTCTTTCTTTTCTCTCTCTCCCTCCTTTTCTTTCTCTCCCTCCCTCTCTTTCTTTCTTTCTTTCCTTCCTCCCTCCCTCCCTCCCTTCCTTTGCCTAAACTTTTCCAAATATATGCTGACTCCCCTAGTAAGATCAAGGGTTATATGTAAAACTTGAGAACAAGGAAAGGGACAAACCGATCTGCATACATTTCACAAAGTTGAGGATAAGTACATGCTGAAATCCCATCCTGAACTGCCTGGCCTGGCTACAGGCTGAGGAGAAGGATCTGGTTATAATCTCTTTCTACAAGCTTCAAAGGCTTACATTCCCACAGCTGCAGGTAGAAATACCGACTGAAGCAAAATTCCCTACCCGGAATTTCCAGCGGATACGATGAGGTCTCTTGGGACAATCTCATCTTAATGAAAATTGGATTGAGAAATCTAAAGACCTTGGGAAGCCTTGACGGTCAATCAAAACCCTTTCAGCAGCTTATCGTCCAAAGGCCCACCTTACATTTCCAAGGAAGCAAGTAAAAATACCTTCGCCTACTCCGGCTATACATACTGCTAGCCAAGAATAATGTAAACTATTTTACTGGCAAGGAAACATGATTTTTTAAAAAAAATTATTATGGTGCAATCATAATAGGGGAGTTCAGGTTAAGGCTGGGAAAAATGTATCCGCATTGTCAGCTAACCAACTCTGGCTTTGAGGAAAAGGTGAGTTGATAAATCTACAAGGAAATGACACAGTGAGTATAATAGACGCCAAGCCCTTCCACAGAATCTGCGAAAGGGCAGAAGTTTCTGAGGGCACCTAATGAAAAATTTGACCACAGATTTAAAGTTCTTTCTTTCTTTCTTTCTTTCTTTCTTTCTTTCTTTCTTTCTTTCTTTCTTTCTTTCCTTTCTTTTTCTTTTTTCTTCTTCCTCTCTTCCTCTTCTTTTCCTTTCTTTCCTTTCTTTCTTTTTCTTTCTTTCTTTCTTTCTCTTTCTTTCTTTCACTCTTTCATTCTTTCTTTCCTCCCCTCCTCTCTCCTCCCCTCTCTCCTCTCCTTCTATCCTTTCCTTTCCCCTGCCCTCCTGCCTTATTTCCTTCCTCCTTCTCACCTTCCCTCCCTCCCTCCCTTCCTTTACCTTAAATATTTAGCTTTCTTGCTTAACATGCTAATCAAGCTTGCACAAACAAACCCCCTTCTGTTTCCCACATAAAAAGTTAACCTCCTTCTTGAGTGGTTTCAAGAATGGGGTGTGTGGGTGGGGGGGTGAGCAGTTGTGACAAGCCTAGAAAGAATTCGGTAAATAAAATAAAACTCAAATCCAAGGGCAAAGGCAAAGAAGGAAAAAGTCTCCTGGAACAAGCATGGCTGAGGAACTGCGGGGTCGGTGGGTGGGTGGCAGTGGTGGGTTGCCCCCCGGTTCAGACCGGTTCGCAAGAACCGATAGTAAAACCAGCGGGAGGCCCCGCCCACCGCCCCGGATATTGTCATCAGTGATCTGCGCATGCGCAAAAGCTTCCCATTGCAAACCAGTAGTAAAGTTAAGTAGAACTCACCCCTGGTGGGTGGGTGGGGAATGTACCTTCCAACACTCCAGAATCCCCCTCCTCCTCCCCCTCCTACAAGAACTCACCTGAAGATAACACACTCTTACCTACCTGCAACCCCGCCTCGACAGCCCTTTCAAAGTCACATCCTCAGCTCACAAAATCTCCAGAATTTGCATTCCGACCTGTCACAGAGTCTATTCTGACTCCGCCTGCTAAATCTTGATTACAGGTAGTCCTTGACTTACAACGGTTCACTTAGTGACGGTTCCAGACTTCTGGAACCTCCAGGAGGCCCCTCTTTTGCCCTCCCAGAGCCTCCACCCAGGCTCTGCACTTACCTGGCATCCAAAACGGGCTGCATGGAGACTCCTGGGAGGGGGCAGGGAGGGGTGGGCGAGGCCAGCAAAGTCCTTGCAACTACCGGTTCGGCGAACCAGATCTAAAATTAGCATCCGATTCACCCGAACCGGTCTGAACCGGCTGAATCCCACCTCTGGCTAGGTTGGTCCTGGCTTGTGCGAATGTAGCCATTCTGGTTTACAAAACATAGGTTATAATCTAGTGTGCATGTATACAGGTAGTCCTGGACTTACGACTATTCATTTAGTGACCGTTCAAAGTTACAATGGCACTGAAAAAAGTGACTTATGACCGTTTTTCACACTTACGACATTGCAGTATCCCCATGGTTACGTGATCAAAATTAAGACTCAGATTTATGACCGTTGCCGTGTCCCGGGGGGTGTGTGTCACGTGATCCCCTTTTGTGACCTTTTGACAAGCAAAATCAAGGGGAAAGCCAGATTCACTTAACAACCGGATTACTAACTCAACAATTGCAATGTTTCGTTTAACAACTAGGTGAGAAAAGTTGCAAAATGAGGCAAAACTCACTTAATGAATGTCTCGATTAGGAAAAAAAATTTGGGGCTCAATTCTGGTCGTAAGTCGAAGACTACCTGTCGTTTTTACCGTGCTTAGTTTTTTCTGGAGGGTAACAAGTTGTTGTGGCTGGGTTCCAACAATGCACTAAATATTAAACCTAAGAAAACAACACAAATGCCATGGGACTTTCCAAAGCGATACATGTCAGTGCTTGGCAGACATATGAATAAGTCCTTGGCTTACAAGAATTCATTGAGCTGCCTTTGGTGAATTATGTTTTTGAGTAGTTCATAATATAAAATACAAGAATACAAAAGCAAATAATAGGAAAAATAGGGGAGGGAAAAGGGAAGAGAAAAGTGTAGAAAAGAAGGGGAAAAGAAAGACAAGGCATTGACTCCCGACTCCCTTTAATGCAGTAGAATAAGATAGTAATATCAAACCTCAACTTTATACTTTTACATAATAGCCATACCAATAGCACTTCAACTTATATACCGCTTCATAATGCTTTATAGCCCTCTCTAAGAGGTTTACAAGTCAGCCTCTTGCCCCCAACAATCTGGCTCCTCATTTTGCTGACCTCAGAAGAGTCAACTTTGAGCCAGTCAGGATTGAACTGCTGGCAATGGGCAGAGCCAGCCTGCAATAATACATTCTAACCACTGCACATCATGGATGGATGGATGGATGGATGGATGGATGGAAAGGCAATAGCCCTCTCTAAGCAGTTTACAGAGTCAGCCTCTTGCCCCCAGCAATCTGGGTCCTCGTTTTCCCGACCTTGGAAGATGGAAGGCTGAGTTAACCTTGAGCCGGTTAGAATCAAACTCCTGGCAGTGGGCAGAGTTAGCCTGCAATACTGCATTCTAACCACTGCGCATCATGGATGGATGGATGGGCAATAGGACTTAGACTTATATACCGCTTCACAGGGCTTCACAGCCCTCTCTAAGCGGTTTACAGAGTCAGCCTCTTGCCCCCAACAATCTGGGTCCTCATTTTACCCACCTCGGAAGGACGGAAGGCTGAGTCAACCTTGAGCCGGTTAGAATTGAATTCCTGGAAGTGATACTGTTGATAACAGTATCCACTAGCCATTTCTATAGCAACAGATCTATCTAATCTACAAAACTCAAAAACAAAGTTACATTTTTTTTCCCCACCTCAGGCACAAAGTCTAGAAGCGGTTTCCAAGCAGAAACAAAAGTTAATTGTGGTTTGTTTGTTTTTCGTTTTATCAAAGCATTTGATAAAGCATTTATTTAGCTCTGCTAAATTCCATCAGCTTTTGCAACCGTTTATCCATTGCGGAGATTGAAGCCTCCTTCCATTTTGTGCAGAAAGTAATTTTGCTGCCGTCCACATATATAAGACGTTTAGCAACATTTGGAAGTTACACCAGCAGTGAAAAAAAAAATGGCTAACAACTAAACCTCAACCAGGATTGTTGCAGCCTCTCCAGGTTCACTTTGATCAAAATTCAGGTATTGGCAGCTGGCGTGTAATTTATAACGGTTGCGGCATCCCGAAGTCACGCGATTGTCATTTGCGGCTTTCCCGGCCGACGTTCAACGAGCAAAGTCAATGGGGGAAGTTGGAATTTGCTTAAAGACTGTGTGATTCGCTTAACAACCATGGCAAAAGTCCTAAAATGGGGTATGGCTCGTTTAAACAATCATCTTGTTTAGCAACGGAGAATCTGGGCCCAATTGTGATTGTAAGTCGAGGTCTACATATAACTCGCTAATAGATGATTTTTTTTCCAGATGCTAAACCACAAATGGTCCTATCTCAGAATAGAACACCAAAGTTGGAAGGGACTTTGGAGGTCTTCTAGTCCAACCCCCTGCTCAGGCAGGAAACCCTTATACCATTTCAGACAAGTGGCTGTCCAGTCTCTTCGTAAAAACG